GACTCCTGTGGGAGAGCGGGGTTGAGATGGGGGAGGCGCCTCACGGCAGAGTAGGAACGATACATGCGTTCACGTAAGAGTCTCCAAAGGCCGCCAGTGACACCGTAAAAAGTTGCCAGATCTGTCACTATTCGCTTTTTTTTTTTTAAATAGTCGCTGGAGGGGTCTGAAAAGTCGCTAAATATAGCGACAAAGTCGCTGAGTTGGCAACACTGCGCACCTGCAGCGCTGGCTCGCTCTGCCGTAATTTTTTTTCTTCCCTCGTTTCAGTCAAGTGGCAGTGATGACGGCGGCGGCGGATGACGCATTAATCGCGCGACACAACTAATCGATGATGAAATTCGTTGCCAACGCTTTTAAAAGTCGATTTTTATCGATTTTATTGATTCGTTGTTGCAGCCCTAGAATGAAGTATAAAGCACTTTGGTCAAGTCAAGTCTCCTGACTTGAAAAAAGGTGTAAAAAAGTACAGGCCATTTACTATGGCCGCTCACACTCCTGGAGGTTTCTTCTTGTTCAAAAGGGGGAGTTTTTCCTCTCCACTGTAGCTACAAGCATACAACAATAGAAAACTCCCAGGGCCAGCGTCCCGGTCCTGGGTCAGCGTCCCGGGCCGATCCTGGGTCAGTGTTCGGGGTCTGTCAGCTGCTTCATAAATATGGCCCCTGTCTGTAACAGAGCGTCTCAGACACCACAGAGAAAAATCACTTTGAGGCTCATGCTTTCTGAGGTGAATTAAAACATTAAACACAGGATACCTGCAAAAATGAAAACTTGGTTATTAAAGACAATGCTAGGAAATCAGGTCCGACTCACAGTGACAGAGCCCAGAGTGTGCAGGAGGCTGGATGTGTAGCACAGCGTCTCCGATTCTCCCTTCATGACTCGAACCATGTGCCTCCAGACGCAGCGCAGCATCTCCTGCAGGTCACACACAGGACAAGAATGACCTTGCAAAACAACAAGACACCTTCACCAGCTTTATAAGGACAGCAGCACTGAACTGAAGGGTACCGGCACCAATACTGGTGCCAAGCAGTGAGAATCCAATAGAAAGGGAAAATTCAGCATACTAAACCACACTGGCGGTTTAGCCAGATACGTCTTCAGTCAGCAGCCATTAAACAGGAGGAAGGCTCTTAAATGAGAAGCGACTGAGGCAGGAACAGCAGAAGAACCTTTATAGAAGAACTGAACAAACCACAAGCACCGGATCTCAAGAGTTTTCAGAGAAAAATGAACAGAAGCCATTAGACTTTACAGATCAGCTTTATGTTATTTCATCCACCGCCTCATTCGTCAGCATCATCAGTGCAGCTAGGATCTAATCCAGTAAAAGCAACGAGGCAGAAAAAAAAATTAAAAATACGAGGCAGGAGGCATCTAAAGCTCCCCAGCCTGCAGACAGAAGACTGTTCTAGACCTGAACAATGAAGAAGATCAACAACCGAGGAGGATAGATCCAGGACTAACCTGGAAACCTGCTGCTTACAGGAGGAACTCCTCCATCCTGAGCTACCGCCGGCTCAAAGGATGTAGAGAGAACAGCTAATGACATATCGTCTGATTGAGGCATATTAAGTAAGACCCCAAAGAATGAACACACTGGACAGACAATCTGGAGGAAACCATTCTCAGGGTTATGTCTCTGAGACAGATTTATGTGAAGCAAAGATGAACAAACCAGAGAATGAGACAGCAGAGGACAGCACTCAGGGCAGAAGCTGAGAAAAATGAAGGCATGCTTAAAGTGAGAGAGCAGCGCCTGTCCAACATGGACACCAAGAGGTCTCCACACATGATGGAACCCAAACTGAGTCATGTTGGAAATACCAGCTGCCGTGCAAAAAAACAAGGAAAAAGAGTGAGTGAGATGCAGAGGATGTCCCATGCCTTTGATGGGTTCAATAACAAAATCAAATGATGGAAGCTTGTGCTAAAGATTCAGCAGAGATATGGGGCTGAAGGCCACAAGGGGGAGCAGCAGAACAGAGAAGATCAAGGCAGGCTGAGGTGGAGCTGGGATTGAAGCAGGTGTGAGACGTGTTAGCGGGACAGAGAAGGGTTATACCTGCGAGGAAACTGCTTCTGTGTAGCTGCTTAGAGTGTCCTCAGAGAACTTAGCAAGCTAGGGCAGAAGAAGAAGCTAGTTAAAGGCTGGTGGAGAATCTCCTCTGTACCAGTGTGTGTGCTCCCATCCTAGCATCAGAGTGAGGACCATTTATCCCATTTAAAGGTGAGGAAAGTTTGTCCCAAAATGAGGACATTTTGATGTTCTTCACTTTGGAGCTGCTAACAGGTTGGCTGAGGACTAAGATGTGCATTAAAATTTAAATGTCCTTTTTGTCAGAGATAGGGAGGCTTTGGTAACCGGTAGGGTTTGTGTCAGGGATAGGGATGCTTAGGGACGCCCTGGTAACCGGTAGGGTTTCTGTCAGGGATAGGGACGCTCTGGTAACCGGTAGTGTTTCTCTCAGCGATAGGGACGCTCTGGTAACCGGTAGGGTTTCTCTCAGGGATAGGGACGCTCTGGTAACCGGTAGGGTTTCTCTCAGGGATAGGGACGCTCTGGTAACCGGTAGGGTTTCTCTAAGGGATAGGGACGCTCTGGTAACCGCTAGGGTTTCTCTCAGGGATAGGGACGCTCTGGTAACCGGCAGGGTTTCTCTCAGGGATAGGGACGCTCTGGTAACCGGCAGGGTTTCTC